AGAGTAATGTGGAAATCATCTGCCCCACAGGCAGGGGGAGGGTGAGGGATAGGGGTATACTGGGACTTTTGGTGGTGGAGAATGGGCACTGGCGAAGGTACGGGTGTTTCATTGTATGACTGAGACTTGGACCCAAAAGCGTTGTAACTGCTCTCACGGTGATTCAATAAATAAAATTATAAAAAATGGAAAAAGAAAAAAAAAGTAAGGTGGAGTTCATGCACAATTCCATCAGCTAATCAGTGGCTGAATAAATAGCAGTACTCCTACAAAAAAAGGAAAAAAAAAATGAGAAAATGTGACCAGCCGCATAACGGCAATGTAGATGCCCCGTTATAAGTAGAAGTGGCAGCAGGAGAGCGAGTCCAGGACTAAGGCACTAGCCTTGCTTCCTTCTGACCCTCTGTTCAATTCCTGGCACCGCTTATGGTCCCCCAAACAACACTAGTGGCCATTCCTGACCACAAGAGCCAGAAATAGCCCATAAGCACCACTGCGTGTGGCCCCAACACTGGGCCCCTGCAACCCCCGCCCCCCCAAAAAAATCAAATAAAGGCCAGAGAGATAGTATGGAGAGGAATATATGGCATTTGCCTTGCATGCTGCAGAATGTGACTCGATTCCTGGCACCACACATGGTTCCCTGAGCACTTCCAGGATTGATCCATGAGTAGAGCCATTAGAAAACCCTGTATACGGCCAGGTGTAGACCCTGCCCCCCAAAAAACAATACAAATAGACGTGGTAAAGATCCGTGTAATAATTTCAGCATCATTAGAGAAACAGCTGACAAAACTTCCTGCTGGAGACAATAAGGCCATGATTGTTCAATGTAGTCTACGGAGAAACGAAGGGGCAGTGCCCTGGGAGAGGGCTGCCTGTGCCGCCAATACACGAACCTCTCATCTTCCAATGTTGATTAACCCAACGGCATTGCTCACCACCTTGGACACAGCCCCTGTATGCATGGACTGTGTGACCATAATATGAAGCTCTGACCACTCTGGGAATAGGAAGCAGCAAGAGCGATTAGCAGCTTGTCTGAGACGCAAGGTTCATCATTACATAAAGAAGGAAGATCGCTTTTTGCTTTGTTTGAGTTTTTGGTTTCGGGCTACACCCAGTGATACTCAGGGGTTACTCCTGACTCTGCACTCAGGAATTACTCCTGGTGGTGCTGGGGAACCACCTGGGATGCTAGGGATCGAACCCAGGTCAGCGGCGTGCAAGGCTAGCACCCTACCCACTGTATATCTCTCCAGCCCTGGAAGATTGTTTTTGAATGATGTGACAAGGCAAGTAAAGTCAGACATAAGAGAGGCTGAGTCAGAAGTCCCCGAGGCAAGTAGTAACCTCTTCCAGCCGCTCAAGCAGGGCACCTCCCTGGCCTCCATGTCCTTCTGCCCTGTTATAATATGACACACTACAGCAGAATGACTTTCATGTTACCCTCTTCAAGGGCAATGAGTGACTCCATTCATCTCTAACTAACCCAGATGTGTAAGAGTTTAGCAACTTTCTTTTCAGTGAAAGTGGTCAGCTGACCAAAGCACGTTGGCTTCCATCAATAACATGTGTAAAATGCATACACTAATCACACATTCAGCTCTCCACGAAAGAATAAAAGGGGGTAGGCATGGATGTATTTCTAGAAGCCAACACATACTCTTCAGAACGGGACCTGAGTTACCCCCGGAATCCGTTCCTGAGCTGTCCGAGGACAACTTCACTGTCGGTCATTTGGGAAGATGGGACCAAAGCGGGTTTGGGAACTCAACAGCTCAGCTTTCCAGAAGAGGTTTTGGGCTTCGTGCATCAAACACGTGCTCTCAGAGAGTTTTTGTCTTAGGAGCAACTGGCCCAGGTTTGATCCCCAGCACCCTCTATGGTCTCTAGTCACAACCAGGAGTGATCCCTGAGTGTAGAGCCAGGAGTCAGCCTTGCCCCTCCCCCAAATAAATAAATAAACAAACAGCATACCAGGGAGCCCCTCCCTGCATAGGCTCTATGCTTGGCTAGGTACTAGGAAGAAAGGTGTACATAAGGAGCATTTAAGAAACTTATATGTCCACAAAAACATAAACACAATAGGAACATCAAATAATAAGATTTTTCCCTTGCAGATGATGATGCAGATAAAGGACACTTCAAAACTTGTTACCAAAACACAAGACCAAAAAAAGTTTTCTGTTTATTTTTGGGCCACACCCATTAATGCCCATTAGCCAGGTCGTCCTGGTTCTGCTTAATGGTCCATGTGACACCAATGATCTAACCAAGGCTCCAGTACAAATACAAATACATGTACAAATACATGAAGTACAAATACATACAAGTACAAATACATGAACTCCAGGCCTTTAAGCTGTGCCCCCGCTCAGGAATACTTTATTGACCTCAAAGAAATCAAACTTAGACCCAATGTTGACAATGAAGAAGTAACTTGAAAACATCAAGGCCCAACTCCACGCCTTTTGCTTTTTTGATTTGTGTTCTTTTGCTTTTTTTTTTATTTTATTCTTTTGTTCTTTTTTTTTCCATTTTATTCTTTTGCCTTTAGCCTTCTTTTTTTTTCCCCCCCTTTTTGGGTCACACCTGGCGATGCTCAGGGATTACTCCTGGCTTTGCAACTCAGGAATCACTCCTGGCAGTGCTCAGGGGATCATATGGGATGCTGGGAATTGAAGCTGGGTCGGCCGCATGCAAGGCAAACGCCCTACCTGCTGTGTTATGCTCTAGCCCCATCTTTAGCCTTCTTATGTCTCCCTCAGGGCTTCTCATTTTGGAGATGGGGAGGAGAGGCCACTCCTGGCACTGCTCTGTCTGATGCGTGTACACAGGGTGTATAACACCAGGAACAGGGTATCAACCCCAGTGCCATGACCACTTAAGCCACATTCCAGCCTGGGAATTCTCATTATTACAGTCTCTGTCACCACTATCACGCAAGTCTGAAGGTGGGATGACGTGGGGGGAGGAGGGATGTTGCTTAAAGTTGGCCTTAGATGTGAACATGTGAGTTCTTCCACTATCCCTGAAACACAGTTACAGACAAAACTTTACAAGAAGTTCAGAGATAATAAGGGCAATGAACAGAGACAGTATTCCCAATGAGATCGTCTGCCTGGTAAAATATCTAGTCTTCAACTTAAGATTTCCTACAAGTGCCCTTCCCAGGCTGATTTCAGCTTACAAAGTCATTTGCTCTTACACTGGGAAGTATTCGCAACACTTCCTTTGAAGTCATACCCAAGAAGGTATAGTCCAGGGGCTGGAGCAATAGCACAGTGGGTAGGGCGTTTGCCTTGCATGTGGCTGGCCCGGGTTCAATTCCCAGCATCCCATATGGTCCCCCGAGCACCGTCAGGAGTAATTCCTGAGTGCATGAGCCAGGAGTAACCCCTGAGCATCGCTGCGTGTGACCCAAAAACCAAAAAAAAAAAAAAGTATAATCCAGAGACACAGGCAATTCTTTCTAAGTTTCTAGTTGCTTGTCTCACGCCAACAGACAGTGGGAATACTTTTTTTTTTTTAAGGAAAACCAAAGTATAATGTTCTTACCCTATGAGATCCAAAAAAGTCACTTTTATAATACAGACAAAAACCATACTAGGTCACTAACACAACAGGACAAAGTGCTTGAGAGCACAAAGGAATCTAATGAGCTCAGGCTGGAGGGAGAGTACAGAGGGCAGAGCACTTGTCTTGCATGCAGCTGACCTGGGTTTGATCCCCAGCATGCCATATGGTCCCCTGAGCCCTGCCATAAGTGATCCCCGAGCACAGAGCCAGGACTAAGCCCTGAGCACCTCTGGGTGTGCCCCCCACACCCCCACCAAAAGAAAAACTATGAACTCTTAAGGAGTAGGACAGAGCTTTATTTCAGAAAGCCTAGTTACCCTAGTCTAATGACCTTCTCTGATTATAAAATGCAGTGGACCTCAGGATGGTGCTGCTGTTTAAGAATACCCCAAACATTTTAGGGTAAGGAAGCTTACTTTCCAGACTTTCGTTGGATCTGGAAAGTCAAATATAAAAAACAAATACACTTTTGTTCTCTTTCAAAGAAAAATGTTCCCATCCCCCTCACCCGTGACAGAAATGGTATAGGAGGAGTGCGTGCAGGTATGTGTGTGCTGAGGGCGGGGACGGAAATGATAGATACTCGGGCAGGCACATAACTCCTATCCACTTCCCTGATAGACCTTGTAGCAACGCTTGGATGGAAGTACAACATGATTTGTAATTTGCCTATCAGTGATCAAACATTCTTAGTATAAACCTTGTCAGAGTGATGCCCGAGGCTACGTGGCCCTCCTGTGCCTGCCCAACTTCCTCTAAAAGCAATTCTTCTCAGGTATGTCCCCGCAAGTCTCCAATCCCCACACTATCTTTGCCACTCTCTTATTTCTTAATCACTTCAGTTCAACCCTGAAAATAGAAAATGAAAACAAACAAAAAGAACTATTTTCTAAACTGGTCACACAGCAGTTTGGATGGCCAGAGAATACTGAAGAGCTCAGCTGTTGCCAAAGAGGAACTGGCAGAAACTCAGTCACACAGAAAATGGGTCAGTACATCACGACCCTCAGAGTGACTGTGCTCCAGTGACTGAAAATCACTGAACTCAGGCTCTTGGGTAAAAGCTACTTCCCAGAGGCCACGGGAGAGAGCACTGAAAGACAGCCCTGCCTTGCCTTGACTGCTTGCACTCTGATTGGGCAAAAGTCTCCTTGCCCTCTTCATGCCATCTCCTGCTGCATCACACTTGAGGAAACTGAAGTCAAGCGTGAAGGTTCTCAAGGTATCTAACTGCCTTGCTTAATACAGAAAGTGATCTGCTGTGGGCCACGCGCAGCTTTCTAAGAAACGCTACACAAAGCAATAAGCCATTTCCTCTAGTGGAATGTTAAAGCTGTGCGAGATAGTCCAAGCTCATTACCTTTGGTACGCTGATGCTGCTCTCTTGAGAAGGGAGTCTGAAAGGAAAACCTTCGTACCTTAGACGTGAGATCCCGATGGAAAATGCCTTTCAAATGAAGATAGCGGAGGCCCACTGCTATGTCATAGGCCAGTTTCACCCTCACAGTCCAGGGCAAATGCTGGTTACTGTCTAGCAACTGTTCCAGGTTTCCAGAGTTTATATACTGAAAGACAGAAAGAATGCCCGGCTACAAGTTACCAGGAATGTTTAGGCTGGCAGTTGATACTTACCTGAGAGCAAGCAACCAGAGAACACACAGGATGCAGCGCTGGAGAGAGGATATAACAGGGAAGGTGCTTGGCTTTCATGCAGTCTACCGAGGTTTGGCCCCGGAATCCCCTGGGGTCCCCCAAGCCCTACCAGGAGTAATTCCTGAATTCAGAGCCAGGAGTAATTTAGGGACTGAGCATGCTGGGTAGAGTTCCCCCAACGAATTTAAAATAAAATAACGATAAAATAGAGACTATGCTTTTTTGAAGTTACTCAAGGCTAATTCTATATCCAGGCACCATGCAGACAAAGAAACTGTTACTCGTCGACTGCCTCGAGCAGGCCCCAGTAACGTCTCCTTCACCCTAGCCCTGAGATTATATTCAAGGCTCCTTAGGAGAATGAGACCCATCATTGTTACTGGTATTTGGCATATTGGGTACCCCACGGAGAGTTTGCCAGACTCTGCCATGTGGGCAGGCTACATTCGGTAGCCTGCCAGTTTGTCCAAAGAAACTGCATACGAAGAAACCATCCTTTGAGGGGAGCATAATCTACTAAGGGATAGAAACAGGATCCGCGAGAAAGTATAGGGGTTAAGGTGCTTGCCTTCCATGCAGTGACCTGGTTTCATCCCCAGCACCACAGGAAGCAGCACCCCCTGGAGCACCACCAGGAGCAGTGCCTGAGTGTATCAAGAAATGGCATTCCATTTGTAAAGGAGCAGGCAGAAAAGAAGAGCCAAAAAGAACCTCATCATGGAAACCAAAGGAGGAAAACATTCTAAAGAGGAAGTGACCAATAGTATCAAATAATGGGCCAGGTAAGATAATCATGCAAAGTGCCCGCCAGTTATGCAGCTCGGAAGTCACTCCAGAGCCAGAGCAGTCTTGGTAAAGTGGCCAAGCCCAGAGTAAGGCCCGAGGACAAGGCCATGGAGAAGCTGTCCTCTTCCAAGAAGTTTGACTGTTTACCATTCCCACATACCAATGAGGACTGCTTTGTTGCTTTTTCTGTCTTTGGTTTCGGTTTTTAGGCCTGCAGCACTCCTGGCTTGGTGCTCAGGAGTGACCCCTGGCATATTATTATTGAATGATGATAGCCTCTGTGGGAGTGGGGGTTGGGGTGACAACCAGCGACGCACAGGGGCATTTCCAGCATGGTGCTACTGTTCCTAGCAGTGCTTAGGGAACTGGTGGGAAGCAAGAGAGCTGAAATTCCGTACAAAGGACACACAGAAGTTAAGCAACTCGCTCAAGGTTACCCAATTATTAAGTAGTAGAGTCAGGGCTCAAATCCAGGCATTCTGGCTCCAGAGTCCACGCTCTTTACCACAATGTTACAGTACAGTGAGAAGCTGCCACACATGCGTCAGGAAGTTTCATGTCTATTTACTGAAGTTCAACATTCTTTTTTTGCCAATTAGGTTAATGAACTGACTTAAACCTTACAAGATCTTCTCACTCTTTCTTCCAAGGAAGGAAGAGGGGCAAAAGTCTCTAAGACTAAAACTAAGTTTAGTTATCTGGGGGAGACTGGGAGGGCCGGGGTGGGAAGATGCTGAATTTATCAAAGACTAGAGAATATAAGAGATCAGGGCTGGAGTGACAGCACAGTGGGTAGGGTGCTTGTGTTGCACGTGGCAGATCCAGATTTGATCCCCCAGCATTCCCTATGGTCCCCAAGCACCTCCAGGAATAATTCCTGAGTGCAGAACCAGGAGTAACCCCTGAGCATTGTTGGGTGTGGCCCATCCTCCCACAAAAAAAAAAAAAAGGAAATTTAATACAGTTCTGCCTCCCTCCCCCCTCTCTCCTTCTTCTTCATTTTTCCTTTCTTTTTGGCTTCAGGTCCATGTCCAGCAGTGCTGGGAAGTTGTTCCCCACACAGTCCCGAGGAGTTGCTTGGGAGGTGCTGGGGCCGATGCAGTGCTGGGATCAAACTCAGGTCTCTCACATACAGAGCTTGTGCTTCAACCTAACAGCTACCTCCCCTGGTTTTACAATTCCGTCTTTTTCTAACCACTTAAATTTAGATACTATACTGATATTCAATTTTCTCCCCTATAAAGTAGGCCTGATCATTCCTGATCCATGTCAGTTACAATGCCATCATAAGACGTAAAGCAAGTATAAGAAGGTGTTTAGGTAAAAAAATCTCAAGTGCCACATTATCTGAAATTGTTTGATGTGGTAATACCATTACGAGCCGGTTGGGGGCAGCACTATTCAGCACTTCAGCTCCTTGGATGCCCAGCAGCTTTGACCAGGCAGGGAGGACAGCTAAAAATACACCTGGCTTCTCAAAAGGGAAACGCCTCAATCTGCTTTATCCTACTTGATAATCCACCTCACAAGGAGGCGTGAGGGTCTTAACACAGCTTTGTCTCTTCACTTGTTCCGTCTATCCAAGGATGAAATGTAAGGTGTCCATTTGCCGTGGAGAAACAGCTTACAGACTTGAGGCCACAGGAGTGATGAAGCGAACATCCAATCCTTTCGACTTGGAGGCAAAAGGGTGTGAAGAGGAGCCAGGGTGGTAGTACAGTGGGTAGGGCGCTTGCACGCGGCCGACCTGGGTTCAATTCCTCACACCACATATGGTCCCCTTAAGTGCTGCCAGGAGTGATCGCTGAGCACAGAGTCAGGAGTAAGTCATGAGCACAACTGGGTATGACCCCCCCCAAAAAAGCAAACAAGCGAATCAAACAGCTGTCAAGAGGCAGCAGTGGTGTGATACAGAAAGCCTGCCTGCCTGCAGGAGTCACTGGGTCTCCTAGCTGGACACACTCTGTGAGCCTTGCAAAAACACGTCTACTCGGCTCAGTCGTGCTTCTCAAGCTGAGAACTAGACCAAAGCAGAAAGTTGAGGGCAGAGGAGAAAGAAGGGACAAACGAGGAGTCACACCTCCCTGCTAGGCTCCGGTTTGTCCAGAACAGAAAAGGCACAAAACAAGACCAGAGACAGAGAACAAACGGAGTTTTTACTGTTTTTTTTTTTTTGTGTGTGTGGTTCTGTTTTGTTTTTGAACACACCCAGCAGTGTTCAGGGCTTACTCCCGGCTCAACTTCAGGGGTCACTCCTGATGGGGCTTGCTGGACCATTTGCGTTTCTGGGAATTGGACTGGAGTAGGCTGCGCGCAAAGCAAGCATCCTATCCACTGGAGTTTATTTTCTGCATTTGGTTAATGCACTGGTGGAGTTGGTAAGTCTCAGGGCTCTCAGAAACTACGACCTCTTGGCCTTAAAAAACCACTGCCTGGGGCCAGAGTGATAGTCCTTGCACACAGCTGACCGGGATTCAATCTTCAGTACCCCTATGGTGGTCTCCTGAGCCTGCCAGGAGTAATCCCTGAGTGCAGAGCCAGGAGTAAGACCCGAGCACCACCAGGTGTGGTTCCAACCTCCCCCCACCACCACCAAAAAAAAAAAAAAATCGACTTTAATTTATGAAGAAAGGAAGTTTGAGACCTGCCAAAAGGAAGATTTTGAAAGGGCTACTCACTCTGTGTACCCATTAATTGGGACATTCACTTCCCTATAAGCAATTCAGGGGTTGCAGGCTCACTTGGTGCATCCTCTGAACAAATCCCCCAGGGGGTAGAAAAAACAGGCATGTTGATTTGTCTAGGAGAGGAGAACAGCTATTTTGCTTTTATTTTCTTTCACAGAACTCTCCCTGGCAAAACCACCTAAGGCATTGGCAATACAGGAAATAGGCTAACAGAAAGAGGGGGAAAATTTATTTATTTAAAGGGCCAGACTGTGCTCAGGATTAAACTTAGGGCTCTGTACATGCTGGGAAGGTGCTCTACCACTTGGACTCCATTCTGATCTCCTCCGTGGTTCTTTAAACTTTCAAGTTGAAAAAATCACGTATCAGCATAGCTTTAATACGTCTCCATGACGGTTACCTAACTGACACCTACTTCCTCTGCCTCACAGACTAATAAAATATTACAATACAGTTTCTACCATTTATGTTTAATAATCAATTTCTTTAAAAATATAGCCCCTCCCAAACCAGAGAGATAGCACAGAGATTAAGGTGTTTGTCTTGCGTGAAGCAAATTCCAGTTCAATCTATAGCAATGCATATGGTCTCCTGAACAAGGCCAGGGGTCACCAATGAGCACAGAATCAGGAATAGCCCCTGAGCATGGCCGGATGTGGCCCAAATTGCAGTTCCCCCAAATATTTTAAACGTTTTCCTAGGAAGCATTCAATAAATAAGTATTGGTGACCAGGCAATATTATGCCAAAAGATCATATGCCAACATCTTCTGAGTATCAGTTAAGCGAACAGCGAGATAGTTTAATGGACTAATTACATGCCTTGTATGCAGGAGGTCTGAGTTTGATCCCCCACACCACATGGTCCCCCTGAACATCACTAGGTATAGCCCCTGTACACCTAGCCCTGCTGGGTGGCCCAGTAATACCTGGTAACACAGTGCCCAAGCAGCACCACATCTTGGACCCTTGAGTTAAATGACATGCCCCATTGGCTGAACTATCTCTGGGAGGGGCCCCCAGGCTCCTGATCACCTTGGAGGCCTCAAAATAATAAAAATCAATCTACAAAGGTGATATACTCTGTCCTGGAGTCACAGGCACCCCAGTTCTGGGTGTGTAACTTCTCTCCCTTGTTGGCCTTTCTTCTCTCTCTCTCTCTCAAGAATTTCATATTCCCTTAGAATTAATATCCTCCTCCAATAAAACTATTTTACTAAAAAAGAAAAAGATTACCAAAGGTGGTGGTGGACATGGTATGGTAACACTGAACCCCAGAAATATAAACATCAGAGCCAAAGAAATAGAGCAAAGTTAGGCCCTTGCCTTGTATACAGCCAACCTGATTTTGATCATCTGTGCCGCACAGAATCACCTGAGTGCTGCCAGGAGTGACCCTTGAGCACGCAGCCAGGACTAAGTCCTGGGGGAGGAGAAGCA